TTCTCTTTATTTGATGATTTTCATCGACTTGTAGGTAGGTGTCTCCATCTTCTGTTATTGCCAGGTATTCCGTTTTCGAAAAATTTATTTCCATTCCATTTTTTTCATATTCTTCCTTCAGTTTTCGTAACATGTAACTTCTTCGTCTTGTACGAGTACAACTTGGTCGTCCGAGAAATTCAACGTGTAAAGACAGTCGCCTCTGATTGGAATTTAAATTTGTTCACATTTTTTCTTCCATGGTTTTAAAATCTCCTCTAGGAATATTTTAAACAATGTTGGTGATGTGGAGCATCCTTGTAGCAGCCCTTTTGTTGTTTTAAAGCTTTTTGAGAGTCTATCTTCGATTTTTATAGATATTTGGTTTCCTCCTCGGACATATCTGGGATATTACCGCAAGGGTTTGGGAGCAATCAGATGTTTTCGGAGATTTTGTCAATTCAATGCATTCGTGTTGTTTTGCAAAAATCTACACAAATACTAAAGGTTTCAGAAAAAGTATAGTATGCAACACATTTGGTAAAGTTTTTGTCACGAGTTAATTTGGCACGAACGAAGCGCAGCGGAGCGAGTGTTTAATAAAAGAGTCTACCACACTTGTTTCATAATATACTATTACAACAAACATATTTTGTTGTGAAAATTAAGATAATCTATCTGCCATTATGTCACCCGCCATAGATAATAATTTTCCTCATTCCGCTGAAAATGTTTTAGATATAAAATTGAATTTTTCTACTACCATCTGTAAAATACCTAATTACGCACCGATCTAGCATGCTGGAAGGGTAACATTACTACGTCAGTTTCGTTTCCCACGCATGCCAGCCACTTCGGAAATCGCTGCGCTCCGCTCGCGTCAAATAAACTGGTCATTCAAATGCCGTTTAATTGTTGCATAATATACTATTTACTAACCAGATTGACGTCGGTTTCGAAAAGGCTTATTCCATTTTAAAGTCTCTTTACAAATATTACCTTAATATTAATATATGCTTTGTGATTCTTTGATATTACATTAGCATCAAGTAGTATCAAATTTATTTCGAAAAATAGATAATATATTCAAAAGACATTAAGTGAATTTTAAAGTTCATTCAGTCTAATACAACTTAACTTATTAGTATGTATATGATCTTAATAATATTTATATTACGTTATGATTAAATTTATCACAGGCTTAATTGGCTTGATTTTATTCAAATTTTATTTATCACTTCCAAAATGTCATAGTCAACACGAAATAGTCAGGAGTCATCAAGTCTGTTAATTTTTGTATATTCCCTATTTTGAAAATTTAACGGAAGGACGCTGTGTATTCTGGATGCTACAAACAGGACGCTTCGCCCTTTAGTAACCAACTGTTTAGAAGGATATAATTTGGTTCTTGAATAATATTGTCACATTTTAATTATTGCGAATTATTGTAGCCCATTTCAGAGTGTTTTTAATAAGCGAAGAATACAAAAAGTCTAAGATTATTGCTTGAGATACATTTTTGCAATACGTAGGCATCAAAGGGTGTCACAAACTTCATGAATTGTAGTGGCTCAACATATTCCACAGGACAATATTTCATTTATTTAACCTTAAGTAAAGTACGTAAGAAACTGACTTATTGTTCCATTTATCAACTAAGTTACTTAGAATTCAATAACATAAGAAACAATCCTCTAAGATATCTTCTTATCTGCCTCCTTTATTTGTGAATAAATATAAAACTAATAGATATCAATTTATGAAATAAAGATAAGACACCACAATCTCAAAAAATGTTGTGCGACTTTTCTGCTCCCTTTACCTTAATAATTTAATAAATATAACATATTTGTACCAGATATCATATTATTATGATATTAACACTTTTTTCTCGAAACAATGCAAGTAACAAAAACCACAACTCCTGTTATTTATAATTTTTATGTATTACCATAGTGCTTTGCATAACAACAAAATTATTATTTATTATTATTTATTATTATTAGATGTAATTTATACAGGATGTTATTGAAATGACATCATTTAATTTAATGGGTGAATCTCTGGGTCGATGAAAAAATGGCAAAAATAGGCAGTATTCTAAAAAATAGCTTTGTGCTATTACATCCTTATACGAGAGAGAATAACCAACCCAATATCGTGTGACATGTTGAAACCAAAAGAAATGCAAATGCAAAGTTGACTTATATACTAGACAAATCGAAGTCCTCCACTAAGGAAGCCAGTACTGGTGAGTCTTATTAGTGTCTGCCAAATTAAAAACGCTATTAAAATTTGCTATGCGAAATGCCACTCTAAAAGACAATAATGGAGAGTATCTCGCTTCATGCATTAAAAAAAAAAGGGAGAATTACCAACAAATAAAATAGAGAAAAGTGAAAAAAACGATACTATCCGTGATGAGTAGGAGCAATAATAAATCAACAATAATAGAATAACAGAGATAGTGGAGATTCTAAAGAAAAGGAAACTTGCTTACCTAGGTACGTTATGCTCGGAAAAAGATCTGGCTGTAGTTAGATTTGGATTTGGATTCGGATTTGCAAATATTATAGTGGATCGGATCGTTACTTATCTTAATTAAAGAAACATATTCCTGTGGAAATGCCGCGAAAGTAAGCACGGAAATATTGTAAGGGAACTCCCAAAAACCATATCCAATGTTGCTATACAGAATATAGCCCCTTTTCCCCCTCGGATCACCCCAAAAAGTAATTTAATAAATATTTCCCGATATCGAAAAAATCTGACGTTGTCCCAGAGATTCAACCACATCATTAAAGAACCACTTAGGTGAGCTTCAAAATGTTCTGTTACTCAACCACCTTGAAACCGTCGGGAATATATAAAACTACCTTCAATAATGAAATACCTAACGTTGTCTCAGACCATTAGACCATTAGACCATTGAAGAACCACTTAGCTTTTAAATGATGTATTACTCAACTACCCTGAAATTGTCTGATAGATATAAAACTACCCCCAATATTGAAATGCCCAATGTTGTCTCAGACCATTAGACCATTAGAACATTGAAGAACCACTTAGCTTTTAAATGATGTATTACTCAACTACCCTGAAACCGTCTGATAGATATAAAACTACCCCCAATAATGAAATACCCTAAAATTCGATACATTTAATTTCGCAATCCCAACAATATCTGACGTTCCAAATATTAGATTAGAACATTAAAAAGCCACTTGCGAGGGGTTCAAAATGATGTATTACTTCAACCACCTTGAAATTGAATAAGAACATTGAAGGGTCCCTTAGGAGAGCTTTAACCACCTTGAATCGGTCGGGAAGATATAAAACCATTCCCAGAAGTGAAATACACAAAAGTTTAATACATTTATTTCGCAATCGAAAAAAAAGTCATTATGAGACCTTTTGGGTATTTCATAATTGGGGGTAATTTTATATATTCCCGACGGTTTCAAGATAATACATCATTTTGAAGCAATCCTAAATGGCTGGTTGAATCTCTGGGACAACGTCAGAATTTTTTGAGGTTGCGAAATAAATAAAACGATTATTTGGTTGTTTCATTATTGGAATTTGATATATTCCTGAGCGTTTCGAGGTGGTTGAGTAATACACCATTTTGAATCACTCCTAAATGACTCAAAATCAGACTTAAATGGTCTGATTGAATGTCTGGGACAACGTCAGATTTTTTTTGAGATTGCGAAATAAATAAAACGAATTTTTGAAGCTCTCCCAAGTGGCTCTTCAATGGTTTAATTACATTCAATTTAATTACATATATCGAACTTTTGGGTATTTCATAAGTGGGGGATAGTTTTATATATTCCCAAGGGTTTGAAGGTGGTGGAGTAATACATCGTTTTGAAGCAATCCTAAGTGTCTCTTAATTGGTCTGGTTTAATCTGTGGGACAACGTCCGATTTTTTCGAGATTGCAAAATAGTAATTAAATATTTTTTTCTAGTCCCGTCTGTAAAATACCTAATTACTCACCGATCTAGCGTGCGGGAAGCGTCACTTTACCACGTCAGTTTCGTTTCCCACGAATCCGAGCCACTTCGGACATTTCCGGGATTTTACCGCACGGGTTTGGGATCAATCGGATGTTTCCGGAGATATTTGCCACGCTTTGAATTTTGACGTCTGTCCATTCTGACAGTCAGTTCAGTGAATATATTCGTGTTGTTTTGCGAAAATGTACCCAAAAACTAACGGTCGTAGAAAAAGAATAGTATGCAAAACGTTAGCTAAAATATAGTATTTTGGGGTGATGCGAGCGGAAAGGAGGTTATTTTCTGTATAGCAACATTGGATATAGTTTTTGGAATTCCCCTACAATATTCCGTGCTACTTGCCAAGCACAGGAATATGTTCCTTTAATTAACCTAAGCAACGAACTGTTTAATTGTAATATTTTCAAATCCAAATCCAAATCTAACTTCAGCCACATCGGAAAAAGGTACCGCATGCTACAACTATTATTACAGGGAAAAATACAAGGCAAGAGAAGCGTGGAGAGAAGGCGCACTTCATGGCTGAAAAACTTAAGACAATTATTCCGACCAGCCGCGTCCAAAGTGAGAATCACCATGATGATAGCCAAACTTCCTCTAAGAAAGTAAATCGGTTTAGACGAATGCCATTTAGAGACCCAAAAGCCATAGCAAAAGAGGAGGGCTCTCCGGATGCGTGGATGCTCATTGGTATTTAAAAACTATTTGTAAGAACTCAGTGAACAAGGTGAGGCTTCAGGTAGACGTCTTTATTGAAATATCTCTGTTGGTCTTGCACATTGTTAACAGTCCACTTTTTTTTTATTTGCACAAATTTGCAAAAACTTTCTGCAAAATTTCTGTGGGCATGGAACCTCGAAAGACGATTTGTAGTACAAGGGAGTATTGTCCGCGCTTACAAGTCACATTTTTAGTTGACACTAATCAAAAACTAACCAATTTTGCTAACGAATTGCAGAAAAAGAATTCATCCCGGGAGACCCATTAACTTCCTCACCGTTTGAATTCCTTTAGGTATTCCTGAGAGCCGAGAGTGTGCACGACGACGACGTTAAAATCGCCCAAACTTTCGGCGTTGCTTCCCACCACCTCACAGAGGTTCACGTCGCCGAATTCACCCTCGCCTATCTTCTCGACGACGCGTAATTTTTCGCGAGGGAACATTTTCATTTGTTCGAGCCCGTCGACCGCCGCGTCCGGTCCTGGACTCCGGGGTAACATAAAGTGGCTGTTAGTTGCGGACCTGGAAATAAAAACGGAACGTTCTAGAAACTGTCGATAAAATTAGGGTATATCGCCCGGTTATTTTAATCGTCTGGGAATAAAACCGGGCATTAAAACGTATCTCGTTAAATAAAACGTACTTTAACGGTCATAACGTCGGGACACGGGCTAATCTTTGTATGGAATGCTCCGAAATTATTGCCGAGGGGCGGATTTGGTGGGAATGTGGTGTGGTGAGATGAAGGTTCTCCGGCATCAAGAGTTGAAGCAAAAAAAATCTGGTGGGCGGGGCTAGATATACTTTAATATCTACAGACCGTGTAGCGTGTAAGTTTTTATAAGGAGTTCAAAACATAATTAAAAAAAATTATTTGACATTAGTTATAAGCAATTGCCAACCATCGCGGGTTCATTAACGTATTCGTTCGTATTTGAAACGAAATCGACATGAAAATGTAACTGGACCAGAAAATGATGATCGGAAGACCCAATTTTTACTGGATTTTGTTTGAAACAAATTAGAAAAACCCACTGTCAACCCAAGTAAGTGGGGTTTTAAGTATTTTTCTACAGCTTTCATGTAGATTTTAGTTCGATAAGTTATGAAAATGCTGTTTTTGCCTATGATCTGCTCAAAATCAAGAGGGAAAACAAATTATTTGCCTCAAAAATAGGGGTTTAAGTTCATCTGTTTTACGTCGATATCTGCTGGTTTTTTAACGTTTTCGTTACAATAAAGGCCGAAAATGCCGATTTTGACTCCTATTTGAACAATGTTGGTATGAAAAGGTAACGGTTTGGATCAAAAAATAATAATTTAAACTGATATCTGCAGCATTGATGCGGGTTTAGGTACGATATGTTTCAAAAGACCCGATTTTTACTCTATTCTGTTTGAAAAATGGAAGAAAAACCAACTATTAATCCAAGAGAGATGGTTTTTAAGTAGTTATCTGCAGCTTTAATGTAGATTTCAGTAAAATAAGTTATGAAAATGCTGCTTCTGTTTACGATCTGCGCAAAATCAAGAGGGAAAACTAATTATTTACCCCAAAAATAGGGGTTTTAAATTCATATCTACATTTTTAAGGTATATTTGGCTAAGAGGCGAAAAAGCAGATTATGACAGGAATCTAATCGAAATGGGCAACTATTTGACCCAGAAAGGGCCGTTTTACATCGATATCTTCTGGATTATTAACGGTTTTGTTTCAGTATAGCTCGAAGATGCCGATTTTGACTAGTATATCAACGATATTGATATTAAGGCTGCAAATATCTACTTAAAACCCCACTTCCTTGAATTGAGATTAGGTTTTTCTTATTCATTTCAAACAGATTCCGACAAATATTGTATCTAATACCCCAACAAAACTGCGCGATATCGGGTCATGGACTAATCTTTGTTTGAAATGCTGTTCGCAAGGAGCAAAAGTTGAAAAAGAAGTCTGCTCGGCGGTGCACATATACCAACCGCCTGTGGTGTCAGGTGTGGGGTTCAAAGTTCGCAAAGGAGGGTCAACTTACTAAAATAACTACAAAGAATTACCAATAAATGTAAATAAAAATTTAATATAAAAAATGAAGCACTAAAAGGCAAACGATAATTCTGAGCCAAAGATAAGAAATGATGAAGAAATTGGGAAAAGCAGGAAAAAAAATATTCTTTATATGATTGGAAAACTTTCTGGATGCTCAGTCGTATTTATAAACTATTTACAAAATCTCAGCAATATTGGGCACAATGAGGGTCCCAATTTAACCTCTTTTATTTTTGCACGTTGCTACCAGTCTACAATTTTTATTTATTTACACAAACTCGCCATATTTGTCAGAAATGCACTCTTCGACAAGACTGACGAAATATTATTTAAAAAAAAATAGGTAACCACTAAAAAATTATTAAAAAAAAAAACAAAAGTCATCTAAAATACCTTCGAGTTTAAATTATTTTCGAAAAAGTATGCACGTCGAAAAAATTATAGTACTAGTGAGCAAACTATATATTTTCCACGTTAGTACCAGCAAAGCCCATTTATGATTCAACTGGCTCGGTATTTTGAGTTGGGACTTTAAACTTTGCTCACGGTGAAGGACCTATGGCATCAAAAGATAAAGTAAAGGGTCAACCGCCTATGGTGTCAGATGTGGGGTTCAAATTATTATAGAATTACTAACCATCTAATCGAATGTAACCAAAAATCTTTAAAAAATACCAAAGAGTAAAAGAAACGCTGAAAAAGGAACAATAGAAGAACCTTTCAAGAAATACTTTATTTCAAACCGCTTTTACGGAATGTGGACAACGAATAATATATATAATTAACCAAAATATTCTGAATAAAGTGAACATGGTTTCAGTCGCACTTACATTTCATTGATGCTTAAAGTTTCCGATTTGTTTATAGATTTCACAGAATTCGGTAGATGGTTATACATCATAATGCTCTGACAATTAGATCCTTATCCATTTTTCGAAATTTTATGATTAGATAGCAGGATATTTATGATATAATATGATATATGATATAAGTTTTTGTTAGTAACACCACCCCCAAAATATTATGCGATATCAAAGAAGGCTTAATACTTCTCATATTATTCTGGTGTGTAGTGTCAGCTGTCGGGTTCAAACAAATACAAATTACAAACTAACACTTTAAAGAACTTGCGTTTACTTACTTAATTTACCATTGAACAGCTAACCAAAAGTAACAAAAAATGTATTAAACAAGAAATACCAGAATGAAAAAGAAAGATGGAAGAATGGACAACACAATCTTTCCATTGATAGAATAGAAGAACCTTTTAAGAAATACTTTATTTCAAACCGCTTTTACGGAATGTGGTCAACGAATAATATATATAATTAACCAAAATATTCTGAATAAAGTGAACATGGTTCCAGTCGCACTTACATTTCATTGATGCTTAAAGTTTCCGATTTGTTGATAGATTTCACAGAATTCGGTAGATGGTTATACATCATAATGCTCTGACAATTAGATACTTTTCCATTTTTCGAAAGTTTATGATTAGATAGCAGGATATTTATGATATAATATGATATATGATATAAGTTTTTGTTAGTAACACCACCCCCAAAATATTATGCGATATCAAAGAAGGCTTAATACTTCTCATATTATTCTGGTGTGTAGTGTCAGCTGTCGGGTTCAAACAAATACAAATTACAAACTAACACTTTAAAGAACTTGCGTTTACTTACTTAATTTACCATTGAACAGCTAACCAAAAGTAACAAAAAATGTATTAAACAAGAAATACCAGAATGAAAAAAAAGATGGAAGAATGGACACCACAATCTTTCCATTGATGGTTTGAACATTTGGATATCTAGGTTTTCGAATTTGCTCAGCAGAATGAAAATTCTTTTTAACGATGATAATAATATATGACATCATTGTTAACTTAATCTGAAAATCCTATATTTTGATCATTGCGTTTTTCACTTTAATTTTGCTGATCCTTTCCTGTACCTATCTCAACTTTACACACTACACTAACTGCACGATGTACTGTGCTAACCAAATTATTTTTTTCGCAGACCGAGCCCACGGTAACACTTTCGGTCCCCACGTCCCCACGGTCTTTATTTTATTTTTATATTTATTTTATATTATTTAATAATAAATAATAAAATAAAACAAATGAAATATTTTAAGAAAACGCATTTTCTTTGAATAATACAGCATATTTGCCATCAAGATAGATAGATTTTTATTTAGATAGATTTCTATTCGACTGAATACAATAATTACAATATGTTTACATCACGTCTAAGTATAAAAGAGAAAACAAAGTCTACAATAATAATAGGTATAACAACGTAATACATAACATATAAAAATAAACAGGAATAAAAAAATTAAGATATCGAACACTAACCAAACAGTTGCCACCACCAAAAATCGTGTAATCAGGTAATATCTTTTATCTTCTGTTTTTATTCCTCTAGACAGTAAAAATAATGCTGCAAATAAAAGATTTTATTTTGCTTTTAAAATTTTTAAATAGCAAGTTTGCGACTTGATTTGGAATTAAGTTTTATAAACTTAGGTCAAGAGAATTTTTCATACTTTTAGTGTATTTAAACTTCCTAGTTCGAAGCAAATTTGAGGAGGAAGTGGGCTATTTATGATTGTCTGAATGAACTGAAAACATATTTTTGAGTTATGAAGTTCTAATACCGTGTGATACATGTATGTATACTAACGACAGTGCCATAACCCCAAGATTCTGAAACATCGGTTGACAATGGTCTCTATATCCGGCGTTGGATATGATATAATTCTGATCGCCTTTTTTTGCGAACGATGCGCTTTATTAAATAAACCATATGGTCCTTCCAAGACAGCACTAAGGAGTGAGATTTATCCTTATTAAATATAAGGCGATTCGCTGTAAACCACATATAGGCAGGTTCTTTCGCCAAAATAGATAAGAACTAAAAGTTCAGATTTTCACGAAATTCAAAATTCAAAAAATTTCGTGAAAATCTGAACTTTTAGTTCTTATTTATTTTGATAAATGGATTTTCATCAAGTAAAAGTCTCCTCAGTTCAATTCTTTCGCCAACTGGGTTTTTATATTTGTGTTTTGAATGTAAACTAAAAACAATAATGAACCCATAATGGAAACCAGTGCAACTCCGTACATTACATTACATTCCTTAAACTTGGCATTTTATGATTGCAAAAAGCTGCTTGCTTTTTATTAGGTAGATAAGAGGATAATAGCTCTAGCACCATGGGTTCCAAACCGTAAAATTCCAAAGGCCTTGGAGAGGTCACACAGCGTTAAAGTGCTATGCTCACTCCCCTCAAAGCCCTCAACTATGCCAGCGACTATACGTAATAAATCCAAACTGGTCTGGATTTATCAAATTATTTGGAAACTTCGAAAACTATTGGAATAATTGATACGGGTCGGTAATTAATAGGATGAGACATTTCACTTTTTGCAAGTAAAGCTGTCAAGTACGCCATCCGACCCTTGAATATTGTAGTGCAAATTACTGTACACTCTACTGAGAGCCTCGTCAAAAGAATTGCAGGAGAATAATTCCTCGGCGTTGGTCTTTTCCATAGATGAAAAAACTTATTTATTTTCGTGCCTGCAGCCCAGTATTTCGGATTCACAAAACTATCCGTATTCTTTCGTGAAATACCAATACTTCTGGAGTCAAATGTTTGCAGGTAACTTCAGGGAATCTGGGTTTCAAGAATGACATCATGACTTCCGTATTTACTGTAGGATGCATATTAAACACATGGAGAAAGATCAGATATGCTGTGCAAGCCTCAGGCGAGGCTTGTGCTTGCGACCTCGCGAAATTTACCAATCACCTATCTGTGGTTCGGTATCGGTGTTGTCGACCGAACCCAATTGAATAAATTCGAAAATTTTGATTAGTTTTGCGAGATCGCAGAGACCGTCTTTTGTGAGCTTGCTGTAGCAAGAATCTTTGCTAATTTTTTAATTATCGAAGACGAATCTGCTTTTAGATTTATCGATTTTGCTAGTAGAGGAGCACAAATAGGAGATTTATGATTATTTGCTAATTTTTTCAATAAATTGTTGTGTCTTTTGAGAGAATGAATTATAATTGACTAATTAGATATAACAGCATCTTTTTCAATAGGTTTATTTAAATTTATTCAGTGACGAGATTCGTTATGCGTCTTCACCTCAATCGGAAACAAGTGAGGTTATGCAGGTCTTCTTCGCAATTAGGGCATTTAGCAGACTTTAAATCATTAATATATCTATTAGAGTCACCAATATTAACTTGGTAACCGAAAATTAATTAAAGCGTCTATTACGCTATTAGCTCGCTAATCAAAACATCAACATCGCCATTTTGCAAGCAATACGCACTCAAAATATAGATTACTACCCTGAAAAATAAGTCATAAGGAAACAAAAAAAAGGTGCCCTCAAGCGCGCAAATATCGAGAACATTGTCCCTTATTTCAATCAATACCCCCGATATCGTGGTCTAGGTTCATAAAATATCCGGAAAAATTGCTCTTTCAATCTTTATAGTTATACGTTTTACTGCTTTTTCTTAACAATATTTTATTATATTTTGCTCACCTCGACCTCAAAATGGGCGAACTGGGTGATGACACGCCGAACGGAAGCGAACCGTAGACATCTTTGCAGGGATAATAACCTTCGGGTGGTGGTGGAACTGGTGGAGCCTCAATGTCACGCTCCGGGTACGCTGACGTCAGCGAGTACCTTTTCATTATTACATCGGGGACGTCTGCAACAACGTTCTAGTTACGAATTGCATCAGATTTTTCCTCTATATTATTATTGTACTTCGTGAGAATTTAAAATTTACATTTCGCACCAATTAGGGAGTAAGCTGGTAAGCTTTCCCAGACTGGACACTGTTTATTTGCAAATTTAATGCGTGCGAAGTTAAGCGAAGTGCTTTTAAATGTCGCGACACGCTTTTCATAATTTAGGGAGTTTGGCCAGTTTATGTTTGCATTTTTTGTTTTAACTGGATTATAAGCACGTTCACTGTATATAATTCCGCGTTAATATCTATTCACGGATTTGTTGGTGAGCATTTTAGAGTTTATTAATGTCGTTAATTGGTACCTTGTTATACTGTAAATTCATTGTACCAGCTAAAATTTTAATCAGCATGATAAAGGTTGGCAATATATTCGAGAGTTATTCTATTGGTGTCAGGTGTGGGGTTTGAATATACTTACGTGAAATATTGAAAAAAATCCACATTCGTTTCGTGTGGAAAAAGGTTTAACAACCAGCGATTTACATCGCCTTGCCATGTTACTCCCCTGATTTCTAAATACCGTGAAGTAAGGAACAAGTTAAATCGTATCAGTAATAATTCGAATCTTTCATTGTCGAGTTTGCATAAACCTAATTTTATTATAAAATTATTATTGCAACAGTGTAACTCCTCATCAGTTCAATTTTCTATGTTTCTGGAGAATGTGGCATAAACTAACCCTGTGATTTCCAAAGCGATCTCTATCGACTACAATCAGCCAAAAAAATTGAGGGTCCATGGAATGAAAATGAGGGTCCAGGATAGCGGATCTCAATATACACTGGTAGTATCTACTTACTTGCATCATACAATAAAGACATAAAAACGTATACATTTTTTTTTTTATATTTATTTATATATTTATGTAGCCCTTCGCTTTGTGGTTGCAATACATTTTGCACTCGTATATATATCAGTATCATCTGTTACTGGAATGGTTTTTACAAAACTTCTGGATTCCTCCTGCGTCGGTTTTCGCTTAATTCAGTTTCAGTTAAGCTCTGAAGAAGCCAACAGGATAATTGGCGAAACGTCAGTAATTTCGACTAAGCAAAAACCGACGCAGGAGGAATTCAGAAGTTTTGTAAAAAGCACTAATCAATTACTCCATCACACTGGTTGTCTGACAAGATTTTTTACACAGATTTATTTACAAAATTTAATATGGATAATTTGCAGTTACAAAGCCACAGTAGCTCTAACTAAAATAAAGTTCTCCAATTTGTCACAGACAAACTGCGAGGAAAACGACGTTTTAACCCACGTTCAACATTTTAATGAAATTAAGTTTGAGGATGTTTTGACCGTGGATAATTAACACTTATGGTGGCAAGAAGAAACGAATGTCATGAAACAAGAAGAACTGATTGAATTAAGTACAAATGAAGGACTTACAATTCAGTTTAAAAACGGATATTAGCAATTCTGGCTGCGAATAACATACCTGTTACTTATCCCATATTATGGAATATAGAGGAAAAATTTATAATTTCTTTTCCATAGTTATACCTAGTGGAAAAGAAATTAGCCGAGAAGATTTCAGATTAAAGCATGCAAAGTTGACGCCAGATGTTGATAATTTACTATTAAAGCATCAGGTTCATCCATCCCACTAAAAACATTTACTTGTTGCTTAGTTTATTTTAAGCTAAGTATTTTTGTTACAATAGATCTAAAATTTTATTTTGAGTATTTTTAATTTTATTTTAAATTATTTTATTAATAAATATATAAAATTTAACATGTGTTTTACTTTAAATGTTTAATGCTAAACTTCACTGCAGTTAGTAATTTAGAAAAAAACAATATTATGTAAGTAGGGGGTATACTCAAAATCGAGAAACATGCCAATGGGTCTACGACACAAAACAGATTTGGAACCACTGCACTAAACCATCATTAATATAATATATAATATATCCTTTATATGATTACTTTTTACAAAACTTCTGGATTCCTCCTGGGTGGGTTTTTGCTGAGTCGAACTTGCTAACGTTTCGTCAATCATCCTGTTGGCTTCTTCAGAGCTTGTTGAGGGGGCGGAGCTAAATAAGGGGCATGGCTGATTCCCAGGTATAGACCTGAGTCGCGCTTAAGATTGTTAGGTTGTTTGCAGATATTTATAGACTCTCGGATTTTTGGTTGGTTGAAGAACTAATTACATGCAAGAATTTTTGTTTTATCGAATAAAATGTTATGTCCTGTTTCGTGAGTGCGTTCGGCAACAGCTGATGAGTTTATTTGTCTTAGCGGTAAGCCTCTTTCGTGTTCTTTGAGTCTAGTTGATAGTTTTCATCCTGTCTCTCTAATGTATTCTTTGCCGCATATGCATGGGATGCTGTAAACTCCTGGAATCTCAAATGCAATTTCGTCTTTGACGGACGGAAGATGTTGAGAGATTTTTGGACAAGTGGTAAATCTGGTTTTGACGTTCACTCGCAAAGTAGTGGACTGATCTTCGGCGTTCTTCTAGTCTAGTTTGTAATTTTATAGTGTTTTGTTGAACTGTGCTAGAAACTAAAGACCTAGTCATTATAAGCTATCTAATTTTTTGATCGTTTTTTACGATACCGTGGAGTAAATTATCTTTCCCCTTGTATCATAACCAGTTGGTTCCAAGGAGATATAGTTTTGTATGTTCTTCCCAACAGTGCAATGCAGTAATTTGCCGCATATCGAGAAGTCTTCTGAATAAAACTTTTTGTATAGTAATTTGATTAAAAATGTTTGTAATACTTCCACGTAACTCAAATGAAACGCGAGAACTCCACCCCACGCAAGAATCTTATAGGTGAGATAAGTTAAACCAGGACAGTAAACGAACTTCTGAGTTGTGAAGCGTTTAGAAAGTCTCTTCGACATCCGTGGAAAAATTCTGATATGCCTAATAATGTACAATTATACCCTGATACTTAACATACTTAGTTTATATAGAACATATGGTTAGCCATCTTAATTGATTCAAAAATATTTTTCAGACGAGCAACAGATCGGATAATCTACTGCGCGCCGAACGCAAAAAACCGTATCGTTATAATTAACAAAAAGCGTGACGGAACGGCGCTGAAAATAACAAGTAATTAACAAATTAAAATTTCTTTTAATTTCGACGTTCAACGTTGTACACACATATGTAGTGGGAGTTTCTGACAGTGACTGATGTTAATTCGTTTCACCGTAAACGAAACACTCGACGTACAGGTTAAATTGCGAGAACAAAAACAATGTTTAAAACTGTTTCGAAAATTGTTTCTGGAGCACGATGAATCGGCATAAAATTAATTATACCCGCGGGTTGTGTGTATCTCGGTGAAGTTACTCGACCTTTTTGCTTTTGGAGAGATTAGAAACCCGACTCGTTGGTTTGTTTTACATTTACCGACACCGCATACTCAGATATTAAAGTTATTTATATCCTCAGAGAGCAACCGAAGGCATTACGTATAGCAACGAATTAGAGAAGGACGTTGTGCCGCAGCTATGGAGGCTCAGTCTAAAAAGAAGCTTTTTCAGAGTTGCAAAAATGAACCTAGAAAGTTTATCAGCAAAAGATCATGGCGTATAAGGATGATATCACCATCACTGACGTATCGGTCTATGGAGTAAAAGAAATATTTACAAAAATAGAAAAAAGATTGAGGGAAAAAACTAAATACGAGGAGTGTGGTACCCATGTCCCTAACATATTTTGATAGTGTCAGCCAGTTTGCGGGTTTACTTTTTTCCTGATACAGAAACGTTAGACGCGTTTTGCTCGGCGATGTCCTGCAGTAAAAAAAAATGAAATAAAGAATGTTTATATTTTTTTTTGTAAAAAATGGAATACAGTCCTTTAAAACACTTGAAATGTTGACAAAGGCATTTGGCAAATTGATTGTGAGCAAAAAAAAATTATAAATGGTACAAACTGTTCCAGGGGGGCCGAGAAGACGTCCATGATGAACCTCGCTCTGGATGCCCCAGCACGTTAATAACTGATTAAAGCGTTGAAGAAGTGAAACAAATGGTATTGAAAAATCATCGAATCACTATTAGAGAAGCGACTGAAAACGTCGGCATCTCTATTGGCTTATGCCGTGCAATTTTTTTAGAAGTTTTGGCCATGAAACGTGTAGCAGAAAAATTTGTTATGAAACTGTTTAATTTTGAGAAAAAGGACCGTCGAAGGAGCATCGTTCAAGAGTTGTTAAAAAAAACGGTATATGGTTATGACATCAATACCAAAGCCCAGTTGTCCAAATGGAAGAACCCAGAATCGCCAAGACCAAAAAAAACCCGTCAAGCTAAACGCACACGTTGATATTTTCTAAAAGTTTTTGTCTTAGGCCTGGAAATTACAACAAACTTTTACTTGTGTGTTTAGAATTATTGTCATTTCCTTCTATCTTAATTAGAGGATAAGTACTAGGGTTGCCAGCAATATAAGGAGCTGTTGGTAATAGGAATCTTCGTTTCTGGATCTATTGATCTATTAATTATTAATTACTAATTACTAATTATATATTTGCTTGTTACAAATTAAACAGAAAATAGTTATTGCCACAAGCCAACCACCTTTATGATCCTGCTCAATCTAGAAAGAAACATCTTTTAAACATTTCTATCTCACTCATCAACTAGAAACAATTTTTTTATTCCCAGGATGCTTTAGATGACCTCAGAATTTTGACAGACATTAATAATTATCAGTGCAGATGTAAGCATTGAGCAATTTCCTTAAAAAGGAGTCCGCATAGATCAAAATTTTTCGTGAAAAGAATTCATTTTGCAAATTCTACGAACTGTGGGATATTTTTCCATAGAATCAGGTACTACAATTATGGTTAAAATGGTTCCAAAATATAGTTAACCTACTGGAATTCTGTGACGCAAATTTCCCTGCATTTATAGAAAAATTGGTTTGATGACGTCACATTTTTGGTCCCGTGGGTGTAATTAAAATTGTTTTAAATTTA